GAGGCCCTTAAGTGTTTGAAGCCGTTTACGTCAAACACAAATCATTCTCAACCTTTCTCTCTATTTATCTATTTCGCTTGCTCCCACCATCCCAATATATATATATATATATATATATATATATATATGTGTGTGTGTGTGTGTGTGTGTGTGTGTGTGTGTGTGTGCGTATTTATGTATGTATGTATGTATACATGTGGGTGTGTTCACAGATTCGTGATACCTAATGTTTAAAATTAATTTTAAAAATGAAGAATCGTTTTTGAAACTTTCTTTTTCGCTTCAATTCAAAGGTAAAGGAATAAATTTACTTTACCCAATAAGCAAAATACTTTGCTGTATTTAAAACCGAATTTATATTGATTGGAATAAGCGTTTTTTTGGTTTTCAGTAAAATCGATGATGTCTACCATTATAGGACATTTGTTAACAAAAGGTAAATTCTCCGTTTTAAAAATTTTGTAAAAATAAAATCTACTTTTTTCAAAGGTTATTTGAGGAAAATTTGAAAATTTACTTAATCTAGGTTGAAACAAACATTACTTAGATTTTAGCAAAAAAGAAAGTAGTAGAAAATAAGAAAGCATCTACGAAACTACGGTGACTTGTTTGTCAGGTGTTAATTGATGGTATTTACAGGTTGGGTCAGGAGAAACCATCGGACTGATGAACAGAAGTCACATACATTTTACGAATTTTAAGTGAATTTATTTAACTACCCTGTAATTTTTACAAATTAACAAATATTTCAAGCAATCTAATATTTTATTAATTATTAGGTACTTTCGCTTTAGAGCCTTACATTTGAAGAAACTTTTTGGAAAAATAATAATAAAATGTAAAATAGTGTAACAATAAAATACATTTAAAATTTCATAACTAAGATATTATAAAAATTAATATAACAAAATTTCAGAAACAAGAGAGGTATGTATAATTTTTACGTACATCTATTATGAAATTTTATTTATTAATAAATTTTATACTATCTCAATTAGGAAATTTTAAACAACTCTTAAAACACGTGGCCTTTTAATGGTAATGTCATGTATGAACATCCGTATATAAAAAGGCATATTTATACACATACAGAAGTAATTAAATTTTTTTTTAAATATTGATCTATTGCAGATTGTAATTAGCTTTTATATTTATGATTAGTAAAAACAGTTTTTCATAATAACAGTATTTCCTAAAATTTCAGTCAGTTATGTGCCATGCATGATACACACTTAGGTGATCCTGTATCTTTCGATACATGACCAATGAGGCAGAGTTTTTCCCGCTGTAGATTACTATTTCTTTTTGCTGTAGACCAGTTGCCATCCAAGGCTATAGAACCTATTCAATCCTGCTATTTACCCATAGCTGTCGGCAGAAGAAGAGGATTTATACCTTTCCCAAGGGTATTAGCACGTAAGTGAATGTAATGGATTCGACTGGAATTTGAACTCGGCTCTCCGATTCCTCAATCCGAGCCGTCAACCACCGTAAAAAAAATTAACAACTTTATAAATTATTGTAATTAAAATTGTAAAAAAAGAAAAACCAATTTTTGTAAAAATTCATTTTACATCGGATTTTTTTTGTTTCAGATATTATTCTTAACATGAATTATTCATAAATTTAAATTCTTCTAATATTTCTGCTTTTAACTAAATATAATTAATAAAGGTTACAAATTTGAATTTCTCCAGTTTTTGTAAAATTAAGTAAGGATGGGTGGGTGCGGAGTTAACAGATGTAAAAAAAAAATAATTTCCAAGACTTTCTAAAATAGAATTTCTCAAAATAATTTAATTCATTTGTGAATAGGTTCTAAAATTTTCATTAAAATCCGGCAATTATATAACTTTTGCAAAAATTTCGAAATTAATGTATATGTCTGCAAAAATGACGCTAAGATTTGCTGTGTTATTTCATATTAAAAAAAAAAAAATTTAATGAAAAATTTCGAATGTCCTAAAAGATTTACTAAAATAAAATTTGGTCTTTCCTCTTAATAATAACAAAGATTTTGACGATGAAATTTAGTTTTTGGTTAAGTTTATGGGATTTTTTCACCGTGTTTAGTCTCTCGAAAGGACTTCTTCAGAATAATAATGTTTTTTATTTTTTTATTTTTTTTTCGACGGAGGTGAGAAATACAACAGAAGTTTGTTACAATTTTACATCAAGAAATGCTGAAGATGCAGGGACCTACCTAACAAGCCACCTCACGAAATGAGTAGCAGAACATGTACTGAGAGAGACAGTAAGGGAGTGGGGTGGGGGGCAAATGGTGCTTAGCGCCATAAAGGATAGGGATTAATTAAGAGCGATGATCAGCCACGTCCTGAATGGACATAATACAAGAACCCTTCTAGTTCTTCTGATTTGAATCGTCTGAGACAAGATTAAGTAGGAAACCAACAAGAGGCACCACACTACAAAGGAACCATTGAAGGTGAATAGCGACAATATGATGAACAATGTGTACACGAAACCCTTTCGTCTACATATGAAGTCTTTTATCCACGGCACCGAGACGAGTCGGTTTTATTTTTTTTTTTATTTTTTTTTTTTTATATTTTTTTACTTTCCTAAGTGACAAATTCTAAAGAAAGCTAATGATTATTTTTGGTGAATATCCGTTTCCTTTTATATTATAATTTGTTCTCGATTACCTAACGCATTCTCTTTCTCCACCTCCCCTCCCCCCTCTCCCACACACACACGCTTTCACTTACACACTCTTTCTCTCTGTATATGTTCGCTAAGAGGTTATTTCGCGGGAGACATGGACACGAGGTAAGAAGATAAGTAATCATATTAATATTCAAATACCGAGAAAGTTTCTTACAATTCGTTAAACTTGGGTCTTAAAAGTAGTTTGCTAGCTATCTCAAATAAAAAGAATCACCTATAATAACATTTGAAGTAATATATATACATATACACACACACACACACACATATATATATATATATATATATATATATATATATATAGAGAGAGAGAGAGAGAGAGAAGAGATTTTTTTTAATTAAATTGTCCAAACGTCTAGACATTATCGAAATACCTAAAAAGTCTTAGATAGATAGATAGATAGATAGATAGATAGATAGATAGATAGATAGATAGATAGATAGATGTAAGCAGAAGATAGATAGATAGATAGATAGATAGATAGATAGATAGATAGATAAGGAAAACATAGACAGGTTCAATGGGACGCTATTTCAAATAAAAAGCCTCAACTACAATAACATTTGAATTAATAAAATATATGTATATATATATATATATTATATATATATATATATATATATATATATATATATATATATATAGAGAGAGAGAGAGAGAGAGAGAGAGAGAGAGAGAGCGAGACAAGAGATTTTTTAATTAAATTGTACATCATCGATAGATAGATAGATAGATAGATAGATAGATAGATAGATAGATAGATAGATATGAAGAGAACGAGATCGATTCATTTCTTTTTTCGCGGGAATCTATATAAATAATGTCAATCTCATTTTACGTATTTGATATTTTTAAAATTTTTTCTCTATTTTCAGATCAGTTAACTTGTCAACTTTAAAAAGATGGAACCAAGCGAAAATTAAATGACCCAACATTCAAGGAATATCGAAAAGTCGAAAGCCAAAAGCTTTTGATGAAGTTTTTAAAACAAGAAAACACATTTAATTTAGAGGTAATATAGATTACGATAAACTCCAAATAACAATAATCAAAGCTTATGTATGATTTTTTCAAAAACATTATTATTAAAATGAATTCTTACTCATCAGTTTTGTGCATTGGCTAACATTTCAAATGAAATTATTCTTTCCTCTCTCCGAAAATGACGCAACTAATCATCCGTGAAAATCTTCAAATAGGAAAAGACAAATGAAGAAGAAAACTAAACTAGAAAAATCATTCCACTAATACAAAATCGAATTAAAGACAAATAAAGAACAATATTTTAACATATTTTAAAATCAACGTCGTTTAAACATTGTTTAAAATGTCTGTTCTTCATCGACTTTTTGTTGCTTCGTTATTTCTGCCGTTTTGGGTCTTAACTAAACAAATACGCTATACGGACCCAATTGAAACTGGGCAAGAATTTCCAATTCAGTCAGAATATCAACCAGTGTTTGGGGGTACACCGGATCAAGATTTAAGCGCCGAATCGATAGGACTTGAATTTGAGGACAGTATTATTCGCTCTATGCTTCAAATAGTCGATGTCAAGTTTAACACATTGAGCACGCGAATGCTCTCTCTTGAGAGAGGTGTCAACAGCTTGCAAGTTTATTTATCACGACAGTTTAGACATGTTACTAAAAACTTACAAGCCGTTAATATTGTCATGAACAGTTTGCATGCCGAAGTGTCACACGTAGATATGGAGACTCGAAGTGTACGTAACAGTATTTTAGCTCTCAATAAAGAATTCTTGGATTATCGAAATAGAAATTTGGGTGTTTTCCGCGAACTATCTCGTGTTGGTCACAAAAAGCTACCAGTTAAGAGTATTGATGATTCGCAGAAGAATTTAAGTCAATCACAAGTTACAGACCAAAAAGCAATCCGTGATGAATACAGAACTTCTGGGAAACCAGTTTTGCTGTCTTCTTTTAGGTCAACAGAAGAGTTAACTGCTGACTTAGGTAACGATTCTATAATTTTTAAAGATATGCACACGCACATCGCGAAAGGACTTACAAAATTGAATGAAACTGTTGGAAAACGCTTTGATGAACTCCATAATGTAACGGGGACCATAAATGAAAATTTAGCCATAGTTTCTGGTAGTATGGCAAAAATCAACAAAACGCTGTTAGAGAAGATGGCCGATCAGGATACAGTTAAAGATGAGGTTAATCACCTTAAAAAAATGATGGAATATTTAACCGAGAAACAAGATCGTATACTGTTGGATGTCTCATTCCTGAAAGAACAAACTCAGAGTAACAAAGTTGCCCCTGGGACAGGAGCAGACCAGATGACCCGGACTGCAGATGACCCACAATGTCAAAAAACTACAAGCGATAAAACCGAATCAGTCAATCTAAAAATCGAATTCGAGAAAATCACCGATAAACTTGATATGATCGATAATCGAGCAGAAGAACTAAATGATAACCTTGTCCACACATCCGAAATTCTGGAGTCGTCACGCAACCACACGGAGCATGTGGTTAAGTTAGTCGAGGCTCTCTCCGGAAGCACAATTTGGATCCCACACATTCTTCGAGAGGTAAAGACAACGGCGAAATCTCTCAATGAAAGTATCAACGCGACATACCTTGTTTACAAACAGATGATGGGTCTTCGCTCGGATACACCACCCAGTGATGAAATTCCAGGAATATTCGAGAGAAAATTAGAAAAATCAGAACATTACCAAAATAGTGCAGCGAATTTCCATTGTAAAATAGACGAAGATGACAGCAAACTGATGCAGCGCCAAATTTCCAAGGTGGAAGAAATTCTGAAAAAACTTGATAATTCTACGGCTCCACAACCAGAACCAACACAGAAACCAAGTAAGTTTTATTATTATTATTATTATTATTATTATTATCTACTTTTCCATCTTTGTCGTTATACACAACGTTTCGGCCGCTGGAATCTGGTCTCCTTCAGAAGTAACCTACTTTCGCATCAATGTCTAATAAGTATTCCAAAAGGATTTTCAAGTTTAGGCAATCAGTTAATATCAGTAGTGTTTACCGATTTCATTTCTTCCACAAAATCACAATATTTAACATTTTATCACAAACAGATCAATGGATAGAACTCAAAAGAGACAGTAAAGCCGATAGGTGATAAGTAACGTACGATAAGGCCTCAGATCGGAAGATTGGAGGTTTTGAGTTTGTTCCTAGATCCACCCTGACCCGAGGTGGTAGCACCTGTTAGGGTCCCAGCTATGGCCAAATAATTAACCCTAAAATAAAAACAAAAGTCAATGAAAGTATAAAAATACATTTTTATGGTAAAAATACCAGCAATATATGTTTATTTAAAAAAAATATCAACAATACATATTTATAGTAAAATAACCAACAATACCTTTTAAAGCAAAATGATCAGCAAATATATTTTATTGGAGAATTACCAATAATACATTTAATAGCAAAATGATTAACAATACATTTTTAAAGCAAAATTACCAACAATACCTTTTATCTGTAGTCGAAGGCATACAATTGCGTTCAAAATATAATTAGTCTAAGCCATGAAAATGTGTTCAAAATATTTAGATTTTAGCATGGATGTTGATATGTCACTAAACAAAATCAGCGAAATACCAAGCAACATGAAAGAACTCCATATAATATCCTATAATTTCTTAAAGAAATCAAACTGTATTTCAAAATATATCTTCAACAAAACTGCGACATAAAACACTAAATATCACCGCTTCCAGTAATTATATTCACACAAACATTTATACGCACAAAATCTGAGTATCATTTACCATGTATTCAATTGTGAAAGCAGAATAACATATCCTATTTTTATTACTTCAAAGTTTCCAAGTAAATTAAATTTTGGCATTAGATGACCCTCAAGGAGATGATATAGACAAATAAAAATAGTAAGAAGCTTAAAATATATTTCAGTTATGTCGATATTTTTATTTTAGCTGAACAGAAAAAAGAAATTGATAATCACAAAACTACATTTGAAAAAAATAAAACTCAGTTTTTCACTTCACCTACAATTTCTTAAATCAAACTGTTTTTCCAAAATATATCTTCAATAAAACTACAACATAAAACATACACCGGCTCTAGTAATCATGTACACACAAACATGTATATGAACAAAAGCTGAGTATCATCTACCATGTATTCAGCTGTGAAAGTAGAATAACATATATCGTATTTTTATTACTTCAAAGTTTTCAAGAAAATTCAATTCCGGCATTAAATGACCCGCAAGATGTTGATATGCCGTTAAACAAACCAATCAATCAATAACGCTATCATCTACATGCCTATTTTGTCTCTTTGACAATCAAATTTTGGAATTCTGGAGCATTAAGACTAAAGTCAGGTAGCGTGACTTGGTGAATCTCTTGACTCAAATGATTGCTTAGCAGTTGTGAGTTCAATCCCTGAGTCTGTTTCCGCTGAAAAGTCACATAAGTTAGTTCAGTATAAGAAACGAACAAGCGAAATGAAGTCGGTATAAAATTGGTTAACATTAGTTGATGCGAAATAACTTCTCAGCATGAAAATCGGGATAAGAACAATATAACACAACAGATTGAATAAAACTTTCAAAAAGGTTACCAAATACGAAGACATCCAACTGAAGATAACCGAAGAGTAAAACGGCCGAAACGTTGCGAGGGTAACAACTAAAATAAACATCCTGATCTAAACTGCGAAGTGTACATTAAGGACAATTTTAATTTAAAAAAAATTCCGACAATATTATCATATTCATGAACACGTAAAGAAATTAAACGAAACTAATTGACAGGCTCAGTGTCCTTGGGTGTGGCTTTAATTGGAGAAAAACTAAAAAGAAGCGTGCTACTTAAAAATATCCCCAAAATACATATATACTTATACACATCCTATTCGTGATAGATATTTTCCAATGCGTTAAAAATATTGAAACATCGGTTCCCATATGATCACCGAAGTTAAGCAACGTTGAATCTAGTCAGTACCTAGATGCGTGACAACATGGGAATACCAGGTGCTGTAAGCTTGGTTGTGCGAGTGGTGTAATGGATAACGGCTCGAAATTTGAAATCGGAGAGCTGAGTTTTAATTCCAGTCGAGTTCGTTATATTCACTTACGCGTAAATTTCGTTGGGAAAGGTGTAAATCAAGTTCTTCCCCCAGGTATGGGTTAATTAGTAGGATTTGTATCAGTAAAATCATTATCTCCAAAAAAGTTTTTTTCTGTGTGCCGTGTCTCTTCAGGACATTGGCTATCATGGCTCTCCACAATGTCCTTGTCATTTGTAACTCTTAATAAACTTAGACTTTTTGTTATACCTCCGAAACCTTGTTCCGTTATACATTTACTAAAGCTCTTCTTCTATGTGCAGCGCCCTTTTAGGACTTTGACGTACATGCCTCTCCACAATTTCCTTTCCTTTGTAATACTTTTGTCTTTTTGTTATACCTCCTAAACCTTGTTCCGCCATCTATTTACCCATTTCACTATTTTAGTTGCTAGACTAGGCATAGTTTTACACTGACCCTCTTTCTTTCAATCTGCCTTGTGAGTATCTCTCCTCTCCCCACTTCTCCGCCACCAGCTATGGGTTAATTACTAGGTCATGTTTCAGTGAAAAATCTTCATCACCCCCACCTCCAATTCTTACAATCTAAAAATATTTTCTGGCTTTAAAGAGCTAACAAAGGGTTGATAAACCTTTAAAAAAATAAAGCAATACAATCCAATGCAATACAACCTTATATACACATTTTTCTTTACTATATCTGTGATAAATTTTACTACATGAATTATGCACAATAAAAGTTTTATAATAATAAAGAAATAATAAAATATGATAATTATAACAATATATTGTAATAGAATTTATGGACAGAAGGTTCGTTTTTACTGGCGTTTTAAAGCTTAACAATTATAACCAATAATAAAAAGGAACAGTTAAAACAATGCAGTAAGTCCCCGGTTTACGACAGTCTGACCTACTACGATTCGTGATTACGTCGCAATCTCCATTAATCTCGTTTCGACTTATGCCATTTGCTTCGTACATACGATACAAATGACGCGGTCGAAGAATACGTTGTCATACGGCGCTAAACTTAGTACTGCAAGAGAGACATCTCATCTACCAAGAGCCAATGACATCACTGGCAATAAATATACAAGCAGCTTAAAACAATTTAATTTCATTATCTGTATTATTTTCATTTCATTTTATGTATTGCATTTATGCCGCCCACGTGTTTTTAGTCCTAATTATGTTAAAATATATCATAGAAATGTGATGTTATGTCCTAAATTATTACCTTACATTTGCATAGGTAAGTGAGTTGTGCTTATTCACGGAAAATCGTAAGTAGGTTCCTACTTACACGGAAATCTCTCAAAATCAAAAACCGCTCTCTATTACCCACCACAGAGAACCCTCCCTGCCAGAATGTCTGTTGCTCAACTCCACGAGAGCGCCTTTCTGCGCCTGCTTGGTCTCACGCTATCCGCTGACCTAAGATGGAACAAATACATTGAATCAATAGCTTCATCTATCGCAAGGAAAGTTGGTTCTCTGTGTCGCGACAAAAAGTTTTTCTCGACTGAGTCCATCATTCAAATCTATAAATCAACCATTTGCCCTTGCATGGAATGCTGCTGACATATATGGTCTGGGGCACGTGCTGTTCGTCTCAAGGTCATCGACAAAATCCAGAAACGGATCTGCAATGTGGTTGGTCTTGGTCTGGCATCTGTTTGCAATCATTTTCCACAGACATGCTGTCGCTTCCCTCTGTCTTTTCTACAAGTACTTCCACAGTAACTGCTCCGACGAGCTATTTTCGCTGATTCCCAAACTGCATGAATTCAAGCGTGTTACTAGGTTGGCATCTCAGTCCCAACCTTTCACTGTCAAAAGGGGTTCAATGTCGCCCGTCTCTTCTACTCCAATAGTTTCATGTCTCGCACTTCCCGTCTGTTACTTGCTTCCCCGCCAGTTATATATAGCCTTCAAATATTCAATGTAATGACAATCGACTTCTTCTGATGCCTTAAATCTATTCAACATCCTTCTCGTCATCCTTTCCTCTTTCACGTCTCTTTACTCTCTCTCTCTCTCTCTCTTTACTCTCTCTCTCTCTCTCTCTCTCTCTCTTTAACCCCTTGCGTGCTAGTTGCACTCCCGCCTTGTTTGGAAAGAAATGCTTAAAAAATGCCGAGGGTTTCCAGTATACTGTATTAAAATGTTATTTGATGTTCTTCCCCCGTTAATTTGGGAACTTTTACCTTTCACTTAAAGGAGGCACTTAATGCCTGTTTCCTTTGCATAAGCGAATTACGAGTATCCCTATTTTTACACTTTGGGACAAAGTAAAATTTATTAATTTAAACGTGGAAACCGAAACCGCATATAGCGTATCCGGGGATAAAGAGGATAATTTGTATATATTTATCGTGATAGGCGAAATATCATGATCTGCCTAGGTGATGATGGAAGGTCACGAGTTTGTTTTTTGAGGCATTGAATGTGACCAGCCAATTTTAACCTTACTGGGCTGTTAGAGCAAAATCAGAGGAGAAAATAATCATTGATAAAAAAAAACTTCAAAAAACGGTTATATGAAAAGAATACAAATATTATTTTATCACATAAAGGACTACTACTGCTATTACTAATACTACTGCTGCTACTATTGCTACTACTATTGCTACTGTTACTACTACAGCTACTGCTACTACTACTATTACTACTGCTGCTATGTTACTATTACTACTACTACTCTGCTACTATTGCAACTATTACTACTGCTACTACTGCTGCTACTACTATTGATAATACTACTACTGCTATTATGCCATTTTGCTGTCTTCAAATTTTTTTCACACTTTCTTATCTAAGTCGTCTATGAACATATTTAAAGAATACTCTCGTCTACTAAACCCTCTCCCCCATTCCCCCCTCTCTCTCTAAATGTTTTCATTGTTTTACTGCATTTCTCTTAAGAGACTATTGTCATTAAGGTGGAAAAACCCAAGGGGTTGAGTCAAGTACCTACTTCCCTCATTCAACCTCTTCTCGGTGTTGAGTGTTTAGTCGATGTCGAAGGTAATTAGTACCATTCGCCATTTCAAGTTGATTTTAACAGAACAAGAATTTTCTGCTTGGCACCTAATAGTCCTCTTCCCTGGCAGAAAGCCACCGAGAGACCGTTTTGTATTCTCTGATACCTAAGGTAAACCAAATTGTGTGCTTGTACAGTGGGGATGTCAAGATGGAGAAAGAGACGAAATACACACTTCTTCGATCTTTTGAATAGAAGTAGAGGTATATCCCTTGTTTCCTGTTTACGATTGGGTTTCCGGTACCATAAAGTCTACATCAACTCTATACTTCTAACGCTTCCGCCGAAAGTCTGAAATTTTATTTACTATTTATTTTACCTCAACAGGATTAGTCTCGCCAATTTCATTTAAGATCTTTTTTTTATGTTTTTATCAATTTTGTTATGAAGTATTCCACATTTCTGATAATATAAGATCTGCCGAGAAATGTGAACTGTTATAAGAACCTTGACATCCTCAGTAAATTTATGTCCAGGTTCTTACAACATTCTACCTTTCTTCGCAAATGTGGAATAATAAAATGATGAAAAGAAGATAAAGAAACAGAAAATGCATGAAATCGGTTAAAATATAAACTCATGCACATATCCCCCCACCCACAAAAAAATTAAATTTAAAAATAATCAGTAAACTTTATCCTTCGTGCACATGTGTAGTTGCATCAATAGAAACTTCTCTTTAGTCCGATGTAGTTTTAGATTCCCAAAATATATATTATATAAATATATATATATATATATATATATATATATATATATATATATATATATATATATATATATATATGATATAACTATATAATTTTGTATAATTTTATATATCAAGAAACAGTATTTAGAGAAATATGAAAAACTGGAAAATTTCTTGTGACGCGTTTCATCCGTTAGGATTTCATCGGAGGGGGCTTTGATGATGTTGCCACGTCTACACATGCGCACAAAACGTAAAGAGTCTTACAATATATCACCATTCTTGGTAGATTTTCTGTTGTCACAGTGTGGTATAGTCAGGGGAAAGAATGATGGAGAAAAAAAGAAAAAAATACAGATGAAAATGTCTAGAAACAAACAAAAAATATTCTTTCAAAATATTCTTTCAAAAAAATTTGAACCTACATGCGTCTGGTGCGCATGTGTAGACGTGGCAACGACAACAAATCCCAGTCCGATGAAATCCCAATGGATGAATCGCGTCACAAGAAATTTTCCATTTTGTCATATTTTTCTGAATATCTAAAAATAAATACGCTAATTCACCTTCATCCCTGCCGTGCGTAGAATCTCCGACTGACGTCAATTCAGTCGGGTTTCGATCGTAGCTAAAGGCAAACGGACGTCTAGCCACACTGAAGAGCTGGATAACAATATATATATATATATATATATATATATATATATATATATATATATATATATATATATATATATCGATCGACTGTTTCATAGAAAATACCCAAAACTCCACCGAATTTCAAATTAATTTCTTCGTAGATTGTTTAAACATTTAGATATTTATCAAACCTTAACCTCCCAAATATGCACATTAAAGTAACGCGAATTAGCAGCGTCTAAGAATTTGAATTAAACCTGTCGTGTAATTGATTGGGGTTGTTGTAGCTTCTTCCTTTAATGTCGGTCTTCTCATTCAACCCTTAGCCATCTATATCTAGAGACGAGACGCGTTAAATTTGAGCAACATCTAGCCGACACACTGAGGTTAAAAATAGGAAATTGAAATGATACATATGACACACTCATATCGTCTCTCCCACCTCACTTCCTCACTTCGTTAATTTTACGTATACTTGATGAGGTCCGTCAAAAACGTGTGAATTTCTTTTTTCATTTTTCATTTCAGCTTTTGGAAGTAAAGTCTGATGATCCAGAACCCTGTTAAAGGGGTTGTGGT